ATGACATAAACCTTTGCCTAGTGGAGTTCATTGTATTTCTTATCGGGCTGAAATACTTTCCAATTTGACTTGGCATCGTTGAACTTATTCTCTTCTGAATTATACCAGACACTGGTATAATTCCCTCTGCAGCTTATGATCTTGTGATTCCTCTGCAGCTTGCTTGGTTAACTTCACTCTCTAATCTGGGGGAAAAAAACCCACCCTAATTTAGAAGGGAGGATGACAGTTCCCTTCCTGAGGCCTTCTGTTGTGATTTGGGGTAAATCAGAGAGATGGAGGGGAGTACTTAAAGAAAGAGATGCAATAGAAACTGCAGCCCGCTGAGAATACAACGACTGTACTTAATGAAAGAAAAAACACATCCCTGGCCAATTCATAACTCAGTTAAAAGAAAGCACCCTGTATCAATTCCCTAGGAGGATTTCACTAGCATTTTCTTCTCCGGGAAAGAAAAACTCTTTTCTATAACATTAGATGACAAGGTTTAACAAAAGCACAATGAGGGCTCTAAGAACGAGGGCTCTATAGAGACCTAATCCTTGCATCCCTTCACATCTAACTCTTAAGGAGTGTCTTGCAATGGATGACCTGGAGACAGGTGTTTTAGCCTGGAGGCCACCTTCAGCAAACTCAGAGGAACGTAGTATATCCCAGATCATAACGAAACCTCCATTCTGCTGATCTGACTATTCTTCCAAACATCCAAGGTGAATACTTTGACACACACCAGCATTATGCACCCCGAGGTAAACAGGACTTACAGCAAAATACATGTAGGCCATGTTGCACGCATCAAGAGCAGCAGCTCTCTTATTTTGGTGTGAGATATGAAAAAAAGAGAGATGTAGATGCACAAGTCGGGCTCAACGAAGATGGGTGGTTTTCATTCCTGTCTGTCCAAATTAGATCCAGTTGGTCCAAGACGTCTTGATCACACTTGATCCATCGCAACTGATCAATTGCAAGCAGGCGAGGTTGGAATATTCAATATTTCTTCTAATGGAGCCTCCCAGATCTTTCAGTAAGAAGAAAGCATTGCATTAGCCTCCCATTGATTTTCCAGTTGAAGATATTTCAAGGATTGTAGGAGACGTAAAACAGGAATAAACAACCAGATGATTTGGTCTTCTGGCAGAGTTGTGGAAGTGGCTTGTTATTTCCTCCTTCTGTGATGTCCCTTAAATCTGCAGGTTTGACCACCCCCCAAAAAAATGCTTGCTGTGTCTCACTTTCTGCAACTCACTAGCCTTTCCCTTCTAAATGTGATTCCCCTCTAGAACACAAGTTTTGCTTTCTGAGTTTAAGGATGGTTTATGGGCGATTAGCGCCATTTTCAGGCCCCCATGGGGTGGCCTCTGCTCGTGGTATTATTTTACATCGAGCTTCATGTCCTTGCAGTAGAAACAGCTATCATTAACATACAACTTTTAGTAAAAAAAAGAGTTTGGCTTCAGAGGAAACCTCTTTTCTCTGGGTTGTTCTTCTAATTCAAATTAAAGACTTGGCAGTGGTTTTGCAAAAAATAAAAACATCTCCAGAAATGGCAAATAGGACTCTGGAAGAAGCAGCAGTTACAAGAGGACCAAAAGCGTTTCTTCCTCCAGGTGGAGAAATGAGCCCTGGACCGGTTCTGTTTTTAATAGTTTAAAAAATAATAATAGAAAAAATAAAATGGAATGCATCTGGCAACTGATAGAAAAACAAAGGCCTTGGGGACCCAACCTGGATCACAAATACGTCCATTCTTTTTTCTCTTCTTGTATTTTTCCCCCCGTTTTCCACCGTCAATCATTTTAAAAACCAAAAGTGTAGCCACTGATTGACCCGGCTAGCCTTTTGTAGGAGAGTTTTGTCTCTGGAGTACATTGGAGCATCATAAATTCCTCCCACATGAGCTGTGTGGGTGGGGGCAGCAAACTCTTGGCATTGTCCTTCCTTCTTGCCTTGATGGGCTCCTATGGCCAATGCAGACCGTTATCAAAATTCTTTAAAGCTGCAACACACAAGAGGATACAATCAGAAATGTCATCTGCTCAGATGGTTTAATGGTATGTGGGAACGACCTTGGGAGAACCTCTCAGGATCCCAACCAAGGCCAAACGGTGCCATTCACACATCCAACTCAAGCGTCGCATCCATGTTTCAGGCTTAGCATTCAAGAGGCAGGGAAAGAAGATATCAGAAGTTTGACCGAGGAAAGAGTGCAGAAAGCCCAAGAACCCTAATCATTGTACAAGGCTCTTTCTCAGACGTTTTGATTTTTTTCTCCACCGCCAGATACTCAAGAAATAAGATTTCAAGAAGGTATAGAGGGTCAAGAACAATCTTTAACTATTGGAACCAAAGACACCAAAAGCCAAGAGACCTATCAAGGTACGCCAGGGGCTTAGAAACATAGACTTACCGGGATTTATGGCCCCAGAGCATGACTGTTCAAAAAATGGTGATTGACCTGCAAATATAATCAACATAAAGTGGACTCGAGTTTCTGGGAGCAAGTGTGGAACAAAGTGTGCAGAAGATATTCAGCAGGGTTCCTTGCTTTTAAAGTAATGATTCTCAATGATTGTTCTAATTGTTCCCAGCAAAAGGGCAACTCCCATTGATCCTGGTCTGTTCTGGCAACATTTACCCAAGCAACATCTTATAGGAACTTTCCTGTTTGCCAAAGGTTTTGAACCGTACCTGTTGGCTTTGCTTAGGCAAGTGACCTTCAAAGGGAGTGGTGACCAGGAATTAGGGGACAGTATCAATTTAATTTAATTTAATTTAATTTAATAATTTAATTTATATACCGCCCTTCTCCCGTAGGACTCAGGGCGGTGCACAGCATATTTAAAACAAATACAAACAATACATCAAAAACAAAAAACCCCCATAAAACCGAATTAAAAGCCAAATATAGGAAGCTGTGTGTCAATTAAAATTTCTTAAAATCATCCCTACCTAAAATCCTCCCTAGGTCAGGCCCGCTTGCTGGAAAAGCCATGTCTTGAGGGCGCGGCGGAAAGTAAGGAGATCCGGAATCATCCGGATCTCGGGGGGTAGTTCGTTCCAGAGGGTGGGGGCACCCACAGAGAAGGCCCTCCCCCTGGGGGTCGCCAGCCTACATTGCTTGGCCGACGGCACCCTGAGGAGGCCCGCTCTGTGGGAGCGTACCGGTCTATGGGAGGGAATCTGTGGCAGAAGGCGGTCTCGGAGGTAGCCAGGTCCAATGCCATGGAGCGCTTTTGTGAATACGTACAGATGGCCCCTCTCTCTTTTTGGTCACTTGCAGAGTCCCGGATGCAGGGTCATGAAAGGACAGCAAGGATAACACCCAATGTCCTAACCCACCCGAGAACATATGATATCTTTAGGGAAACACCCCAAAGGGAACACGTTTAGCTACTTCTGCTTTCTCCCTTCTTATCTACAGTGTGCCAGACTTACTGGGTGAAATCTTTATCTTATGTGTGTCAGCTTTGCTGGATGGGTTGCTTTATGTAATTAGAAAGAATAAATACAAGGATTTCTTGTCATTTGTTGCTCCCCTCACTTAGAGGAGTCCGTCTCTATTCAGCTGAATAAAAACGTAAAGCTTGAAGGCAACTTCTGATTTCCTGTATTTCTTTATCAAGCAAAACCTCAGAACCTGCATATCGGGAGGGCCTTTCTTTTGGTGGAGCTTTGCTTACGGATTAACTTTAAACCGGAAGCAGGGCCCATTTAGTAAGTTATGCCCTGATTTAAAGATTTTAGCTTCAAATCAGATGCTCCTAAACTAAGAAGTCAGAGTTGAAAAAAGAAGGAGGGACAATATGCTATCGCTGCAAATGCTGAAGCAATAGTGTCCACATTTCTCTGTTCAGTATGTGGCAGAACATTCCGTGCTAACATTAGTCTCATCAGCCATCTACGGACACACCGCTGATGGCCTATAATCCATAAGATGTCAAGGTCTTCATCGAAATCGATGGACAAACAACTAACTACTGTTTCTAATAACAGATTCAGAGAACGAGTGTTGACAGAAGTGTGATGGGAACTGCTAGGTGTTGTTGTTTTTTTTGAAACAGGCAGTATAAAAATATAACAAACAAACAAACATGAGCCAAGGTAAGATCACTGCTGAGCAAGAAAGCATGATCCTGCTGCATGGAAAAAAAATCTCATTTTCCCTTTCGTCCTTCCTTCTGCCGTTTACAACAGAATTGCAATCCACCTCCAAACCTCTAAGTATGCTCACCAGCCTCAGATTATTAAGTAAAAACAGGGAACGGGACTAGAATCGAAGGCACTTGGCTGTCTGGCTTGAACCCTGAACATTAACACGATTAGGAGATAAGGATATAGAGCGTCAGATGCACCTAATAAGATATGGAAGGTTTTTGAACTTCCTTAGTGTCCCTTAGGATGGAAAATAGCCAGTATGAAAAACTGTTTTGTCTATCTCATGGCTAGAGGGTTAGGGTTAGGTGTCCATGAATTCAGAAAGCAAAATGAGATTCATAATGTTGAAAATCTAGGGAATTTTGTACCGGACCTTTACCAAAGGATTAGAACACAGGTTATCAACATCTGGAATGTGGCTTTTTCAAACACTTACCCTCTTTTTCTTGTATAGCATCCACACCAACCTCGAATTTCTTTGAATACCACTCGTGAAAGGAGCTGAAAGCAGAAGACGTACTCAAAATTACTTTTTCCATGAGTTTTATAGGTCTGTGCAAAAGTTTACAATGGATTTGATTTGTTTGATTTATTTTAATATAAACGTAATGCATTCATGCTCCTCAAACCAATACACTGTCTTCTATTAATCACTTCTTTCCAAATTTCGTGATGCGGGTCCCCAATTTGTGTGTGTGTGTGTGTGTGTTTTAAATGCAATGGGAGAGAATTCACATTTTGCCATTCACATTTAATTAAACAATTGCTAAGTGGGAGCAGAATATTCCTGAAAAGGTACTTACCAGACACGCCAAAACATCGGCTGAAATCAACATGTAGAAGACATTGTCCCAACCAGAACTGGAGATCAAACCTGCTAACAAAGGCCCAAGGGCAGCACCTGAAAATGGAAATCATGCAAAAGATCAGCGACCCAGGAGCCCGGATGAAACGCCAGCTCATGTCATGTAGATCAGAGGTCTCCAACCTTTCCAGGCTTGCAGTCTGGAGGGAAGAAGAGCAGCTTCAAAATTGGTGTGTGCGCACTCGCGCACATGGGGCCACATGCACTGGCGTGGCAATAATAATAATAATAATAATAATAATAATAATAATAATAATAATAATAATAATAATAAAGTTGGAAGGGACCTTGGAGGTCATCTAGTCCAACCCCCTGCTCAGGCAGGAACCCTACACCATTTCAGACAAATGGCTGTCCAGTCTCTTCTTAAAAACTTCCAGTGTTGGAACATTCACAGCTTCTGGAGGCAGGTTGTTCCATTGGTTAATTGTTTTAACTGTCAGGAAGTTTCTCCTTAGTTCTAGGTTGCTTCTCTCCTTGATTAGTTTCCATCCGTTGCTTCTCATCCTGCCTTCAGGCACCTTGGAGAATAGCTTGACTCCCTCTTCTTTGGGGCAGCTCCTGAGATACTGGAATACTGCTATCATGTCACCCCTCGTCCTTCTCTTCCTTAAACTAGACATACCCAATTCCAGCAACCGTTCCTTATATGTTTTAGCCTCCAGTCTCCTGATCATCTTTGTTGCTCTTCTCTGTACTCTTTCTAGAGTCTCAACATCTTTTTTACATCGTGGTGACCAAAACTGGATGCAGTATTCCAAGTGTGGCCTTACCAAGGCATTGTAAAGTGGTATTAACACTTCGCGCAATCTTGATTCTATCCCTCTGTTAATGCAGCCCAGCACTGTGTTGGCTTTTTTGGCAGCTGCAGCACACTGCTGGCTCATATTTAAGTGAATGTCCACTAGGACTCCGAGATCCCTCTCACAGTTACTACTATTGAGCAAGGTACCCCCTATACTATACCTGTACATTTGGTTTTTCTTGCCTAAATGTAGAACCTTACTGTTCATGCATGCAGCTTGGGCTGGTGCCGTGCGCATGCACAAATGGCCGCACAACCTCCACCATGGCTAGCGGCCCCATTCACGCATGCGCAAGGGGGGCGCGCAACCCCCCGCACTAGCGGCCCCATTTGCGGCTGTGTGCATGCACAAATAGGGCCGTGGGCGCTAGCACAAGTGGGAGGGAATGTGCGCCCACAGGTGTGCACACTGGCCAGCCATTTCTGTGGCCTGCTGGCCAAGAGTCTGCGGCCCGGGACCGGGCTACAGCCCATAGGGTGGGGAACCCTGATGTAGATGGTCCACACCTTTTAGCAAAATGGAATTGGGAGTCCTTAGTTAGTAGCTGTCCCCAAGGAGGGCAAGAAGGAGAATTGAAATAACAAGCATGTGGTTACAGACCATGACATAACCTGCCAGGTGGGAACAAGGTCCTCAGAATTCTGAAGGAAATGATGGACAATGAGATAGATGCTTTTGGGAAGCTTCTGGGTGGTATCCAATCAGGACAGCAATTTTTAATGCAGAGAGTTACTTGATAGCTTCAACTAGACACGTTAATGTGTTCAAGATGTTGTTCTTTCAGATGCAGACACAACTGCAGGAGAGGGTGTCAGTCTGTGTGTCGCCCTACATCCCTGCAGGTGCAGATCTTTGAACATTCCAGACAAGGAGGACTTTGTGCCAGCCATTCATAGGGTGGATTTAGACTCAAAATGGATCCCATTGTATCAGCAAGGTACAGGTAGTCCTTGACTTACAACCGATTGCTTAACAACTGTTCAAAGTTATGACAGACTGCCCCAGAGCTATTTATGACTCAGGTTTGATGTTCTATGAATTTGAGTCGTAATTGGAGGACTATCTGTAGGAAGCAAAGACTCTTGGGAAGGGTTACTATCCATTTCTCATTTTTAACGATCCTTGGAGACAGAAAAAAAAAAGCCTCAATTTTACTGAGATCTTTACTAAGCCTAACCACAGTTTCTTAAAACCCAATCAAGGATTAAATTGGCAGCCATCTGCCTACTGACCCACAGATCCTGTTCCATCAATGATGGCTGTGACTGTGGAGAGAGCTTTTGCATTTCCCTGGAGACTTTCATGAGTACCCTGCAGAGGACAAGAAAAATAAATAAATAAACAAATGCAAAGGAAAAATAGTACTTGAACAGACTACCTAAGTGTTGTACAGGTGCAATTTCACAGAGCTCCAAAATACCCTACATTTTATCTTCCTGATTTGCCCATGGGTGTAAAACAGCTTTAGTTTACTTCAGGACTGGCAAAGGAATGACTTCTGAATCCTGTATGAAGGACCCACGGTGCAAAAAAGTTGCAGAAGCTGATCATTTATTTATTACATAGTGTAATTTCTTTGTTTTTCTATGTTTTCTCTTTTACAGCTTCTAGTGACAATTGCAATTCTTGCTGCAATAAAAACCAGCCAGAAATTTATCAGTTTCAGCCAAAAACAGGAATAAAGGTTTCTTTACTTGAACAGTTACTATGGAGAAAGGGAAAAAATTGCAATCAGGAAACCTTTCCAAAATATCTGCTGGATAAATGGAATTGCTTTGAATCGGGTCTTTTCCAAGTTCCAAATCCCTTCCAAGTTTCAACTTCTATGGGTTGCTTTCAGCTAAGAATTTCCATTCTCCTGAGATTTCAATGATCCAAGGTGTCATGTTTATACTGGATGGAAAGAAATGTCTTAGTTGTGCCCAAACAAACAAACCACTGTGCTGTGCTTGTGAAATCTTATTCCACTGAGTCTGTCCAAGCCCAGAAATTTTAAGGCAGATGAAGACGCAAAATATATAGGCACTACTATGAATATCAGGAGGCAGGGTGTTTCACATTTGATGCCAAATGAGGGATGAACTACACATTACACCGATGCAAAGTTTGGCCACCATTTTAATTCACTTATTTACAGTTGTGCAAAGTGTCATCTCCCTCCTGGGGGTAAGTGAGATAAAAACCCTCAAATGCACACACACAGGGCTGCAGAATTGCACCTGAGTGAATTAAAAGTTTCGTGTTGCCAGCGTTGACTCAGATGACAAGCCAAAAGGTAGTAGGAGGGAATAAAGAACAAGGTCATCCTTACCAAATCAGCTGAAACAGCAGTTGTAATGAGAGCATAGGGTCCATTGACAAGGGCACCACAGATAATGAGCATTGCTAAATAAAAAGAAAAAAAAGAAAAGAAATGTCAGCTCTACAACCTAACCAGGTTATTTTCCAGCTAAGGACAGGTAGTCCTTGGCTTACACACAAAAAGGCTGTCTGGATGAAACAATAAATATTGCTCTCCAGGTCAAGGTAATATGAGAACCAATCCCAATTTTCTGTTGGGAAGTTTACATGGATTTGTAAGCAAAACATTTCCAGAAAGTAATGCATTCTTACCTATGGATGTACCTAGTCCATTTTGGCCAACATAGTTGTACAAAAAGAGCTGGAATCAAAAGCAAAGCAACAAGTAAGAATTTACCTATAAAAAAAACCCCACCAGGAACCTGGACCATTGCATCCTTCTCAAACAGGTGGTGGCAACTGAACCTTTTTATATTGCTAGTTATTTTTGATAATACCAACTTCATAAAACATCTGGGATTCTTTGGACTTTCCATTAATTTCAAGTAGCATGGCCAAAGACAAGGGATTGTGGGAACTTTGCTTCAAAACATCAAGACTCCCTAAGATGGACTGGCATAGAAGCAGGACAGGGGCTTAGAAAAGGCTACCTGGCCTCTAAAATATTGGCCAAGGTCACTTGAATTGTGCTTAGCTTGTTGTACAAGCCCGGCCAACTATGGCTTATTTGGTAAAAGAAATTACCAAACTATTGACAAATCAGATTACAGTAGATAAAAACTGTCTAAACTAGGTGAAATCTTTGTTTAATTCAACCCTGGCTTTTCCATCAGTGGTTAACCAGAATACTGCATGAAGCTACAGATCTTCTTAGGTAGTTACTCCTCCCAAAATGATACAGAACTCATGAAGCTGAAGGTGAAATGGCAGTGATGGCGAACCTTTTAGAGACCGAGTGCCCAAACTGCAACCCAAAACCCACTTATGCATCGTCGGGTGCCGGGTGGGTGTGGCCCATTGGGTGGGTGTGGCCCATTGGGTGGGCGTGGCCCATTGGGTGGCCGTAGCTGCGGTGGTAACGGCAGACTGGGTGGGACTAAAAAGTTCAATCAATCAATTCCAACTTTGCAAGTTCTTTTTTTTCCCCAGGAGAAGTTGAAATTGACTGATTAAACTTTTTTTTTTTTTTTGCACACGGCGGCGGAGGCCTAAAGCGAAAAAGTTTTATAAAACCCAGCTGGAGGCCTAGGACTGGGGCGACGGCGCACGTGCCCACAGAGAGGGCTCTGAGTGCCACCTCTGGCACCTGGCCATAGGTTCGCCATTACTATGATATGGGAATACTCACCATGGGAGCTGCCAGGATAAGCATTGCACAGCAAGTGGTGGCCCTGCCACCAGTGTAGTCTGAGATGAGACCAGCCATGATGCCCCCTGCATGACAAAAAGGTATGGTTTCATAGTAGTAGATGCCAAAGCTAAGAACGAACAGGAAGGCAGGTGCCGATCCTACACTCAACCCAGAACTTTCTTTTCCAAACTGAACTGAGCTCCCAAGCCTCTTACACAAAAGCTCATTCCAGCTTTTCCTCCTTCCAGCTACTTTCCATTAGAGCTACTAGATCTGCCTGCAAAAATGGAGTGGCATTAGAAACACAAAAATAGCGTAACTGTTGGCTGACCTCTAGTGTTAGTCCAGATTTTTCCAGTCAAGATCTGGTAGCCCTACTTTCATTTCAGCAATCTAAACTTAAAGACAGGGAAGGAGTTTGATGATTGCTCGGAGTTTAAAAAAAACGTGATGTGATCTGCAAATCACTGAAGAGTCCACCCAAAGATTACAAAGTACTTCCTGCCACTGCCTATTCCAGACCAGTGGTCCCCAACATTTGTGGCTTGGTGGCCCGGGTGGAAGGGGAGCGAAGGGAACTGGGCCGGGCAAGCCGGTGTGCATGCACATATACACCAGCCCACCTCACGTGCAAGTGGAGTTGCACACGTGCATGCCGGTCTGTCTCCTGCATGGCCCAGTTCCAAATAGGCCACGGCCCGGAAGTGGTCCGTGGCCTGGGGGTTGGGAGCACTTGTTCTAGGCCTGGCTGGCTGAGGAATTCTGGGAGTTGAAGTCCACAAGTCTTAAAGTTGCCAAGTTTGGAGACCCCCTGCTCTAGGCTGTCAACTCACACCCTCAACATCTCCTCTGATACAAAAATGCAAAGAAAGATCCAATGAAATCAATTCAACACACCAATAATGCCGCCAACATCAAACAGAGTTGACATATCTCCAGCTTCTTTTGCACTTAAGCGGGCTGCAACAACAACAAAAAGGGAAAGGAGAAAACAAGAATGAGTGATGGTCAACAGCCCAGGACACAGAACATGCTTTGTTGGGCTGTGCAATATGTATGACTCAAGGTGGAAAGCAGTCTTCAGGGAAACACACAGCATTTCTTCACAAATCCTCAAAAGTAGCCAAGTCTGATAAATACTATGTGTGCAACCCTACATGCTCCGAAGAGCATTTTTCTCTTTGGATCTGAAGCACCATGCAGCGACAAGGCATTGCATGCATCAGAACCCAATTTTTTTAAAAAACAGGATCTTCATTAACAGTACTGGGAAGACTACTGTCGATAATTTGGAGAGTCATGGCCATTCAACCTCAGCAATAGTAAACTGGATAAATCTCCAACATTTGGATCTAAAGAAGTTCTGTGTGTTCCAAAAAAGTTGACTTGAAAATCTTTAGAACACAAGGATTCATGTAGCACCAGAACATTACTTTTCTCATGTAATGTTCTATCAACGTGTTGGCCAATGTTTCGCCAATCAGGGGTCGCATTTAACTTGCTTATTCTGCACCCAGGGAGGGGTTGGGTGCAAAATAAGCAAGACCGTGTGATAATTGTGGCAGAGTCTGGAATTTTCCATGCTAGGAGATAGACCCTGTGTTTTTTTTTCTTTTTGAATTTCTTAATCCTGATTTAGAGTTGACACAACAAGCTTTCAAGGTCTTGCAGTTGTGCCATTAAATTTAGCTGACACCCGACTGCTTAAATTTGATACGTTGGGCAGCTATGTGTCAAAACAGTCCTTGGAAACACCATAAATCAAACTTGCTTAAGTAGGTCAAAACTTCGTGGACCGGTATTATCATTTGGGGATCAGAAGTAACTTGATCCTGACTCACCAACGTTCACGATGTAGAGAGGCAGCCAATAGAGAAAGGTGTAGCTGACTAGTTTGGCAAACAAAAGGCAGAAGGAAAATTCGATCACTCCCTGTAATGGTGAGAGAGACAGAGGGAGAGAGGAATTAGTCATCAGCAAATGCTCAAAATCAGCTGGGAGGCAGAAAAAAGCAAGATCTAATGTAGGACAGAAGATCAATGACCTAACTTTCCTGATTTCCTGTTTCACCACTCTTAAATGAAGCTTGTGAGTTTTGAATTTTAATTTGGGAAACAAAATGTGGGGGAAAACCCAAACTAGTTTTGATTCTTTGATTCATTTATTTTTGTTAAGAGATGCTCTAATTTAGATCGGGACAACCACAGAGGAGAAGTGATCCAACCTTTTGCCCCCCATCATATTTAAATTCCCTCCTCTGACTTGCACTCAAGCCCCAAGAGAAACTTGCTAAGAATGAATTTTTTCTTTTTCTTTTTACGACCGTGTAATCCCTTCCTTTGGAGTGGAGTCGGGGTGACTGAATGGAGCTGAGCGTTTACTGGCTGGATCCCCTTCCTGTTGCCTATGTGGAGTTCTCAGCAAATATTTTCTCTTTGCGAGTGTCTTCACCTCTAGGCCACCGTGCCATTCACTGAGAGTGAATATCTTATTTGGTTCAAAATCATCAATAGCATTGCAGTTGCTATTAGATCCACTGTGCTAAAGATGCCGGCATGATCCTTTTAAACTGCTTGCCTGCTGGGAGTAATCCCAAGGAAGAAAAAGATGGTTGAGAGCTGAGTCTGTACTGTGTGTGGAGAGAAAGGCTAAGCATACCCTCTGCACTTGATTTAGACCAAAATCAAACTGTCATGCATAGGTGTTGGTGGGGAAGCAAATGAAGTCCCCAGGTCATGACATCAGCATGCAGCTATTTTAACTACATCATTTGCATCATGAAGATGCCACGACACACTGATCTCACTTTGATGTCATTGGGGATTCTAACTGGCGTCTAGGCTGCTAACCCCACTACTGCAAGTTGGGCATCCATTTTTTCAGATGTCTCTGGAGATTCTCAGTCATCCAGGTCACAGTTGTCCCAAAGATGCTTTTTCAGGAGGCAACTGGACTTTGTTGTTTTTCTTTGAAGACGTTTTGCTTCCCACCCAAGAAGCTTCTTCAGCTCTGACTGGATGGAAGGATTTATACTCCTTGCAGACAACACAGACTCATCCCCAGATTCCTGCGCCTGTCTTCAACAGTGAACAACAGTCTGCAAGGAATATAAACCCTTCCTTTCCCCACCATCCAGTCAGAGCTGAAGAAGCTTCTTGGATGAGAAGAAAAATGTCTTCAAAGAAGACAGTTTAATGAAGAGAAGGACGAGGGGG